GGAACAGCTATCATATTGTTCTTTCCATCGCCCCTTGCGTTACTACAAGTTTCTTTTCCTCTGCTCTGATGGCTGACTAGCACTCCGTTATATCAGTGCGGACAGGACGGCAGAGTCGAACAGTTCATTCTCTGTGAACGCGAGCAGTTCATTATCCAGCAGCGATATTTTGGTGCGATTCAAACTCGTTCATGTCGCCTTTCTTATTCTGTTGATCTCGTCCTTGATGTTTTCTTATAATCTATTAGATGATCGAGGTATAGGTACCCAGCAACTTGGTTTCCACTTGCTCGCCGTCAACAACGGGAGTAATGCTCGTTGCGCATCTATTTTCCCTTGAATTATCTTTAGTCATCTTTCCTTGACCATCCGCAAAATTAGCACAATGACATGAGGTCCCAGTTGACTATTCGCGGTGCAGTTCTATTCTTTATGATGAATCCTATACCATCTGTTTCAGCCTAGTAGCCTTACACTTACATGAGGAATATTTACCGTTTCGCTGTGCGATTCGTTTAGCGGATCTTCCTGTTTCGTACAATCTGAGAGCACTGCTTCGACCTTCTCCTCGTCGCTGTATACATATCGACGAGGGCATTTGACGTCCAAGTTCTGGTGTTATGGCTAGTCACGAAGATCTCGATGGGATTCACTTGTCTTTTGCTAATCGCGTCCTGACCATCACCGGGTCGTAAGTTATCGTAAGGACAGTTTATTTCCAAGCCGATGCGGTACCCTGCACTTGCGACTCAGATATCATTCCAAGCATAACGTATTTCTGACAAGTTTCATAGAAAAGTCATTCAGTGTGTCAACCTTCCTGAATTACAGCCTTCCCGTTAAGCCATATTTGGATTAAAGTCATTAAAAATCCAACTCGTTTGGTTTCTTATACAAAGCGTAGCACTATGTAAGGGGTATAACATCTAGGTGTCACATCTGCATCAGTGCGGATCTACGAGGCCCGTTCTTTTGAACCAGTTAATTTACCTAGTGGCCTTCACAATTCGCTGAGTACCACGAAAAGTGCAAAGGTAAAACATTTAAAGTTCAGAAAAGTAGTAGAAGATAGACAGGACATAACTCCAATGTTCCGCAAAATAGCCACCATAAAGTGGCTTTCCAAATCCGCCGGTAATCGTGATATTTAAGCTTTTGCAAAAGTTGTCCTCATAGACGAATAAAAACAGAGAAGCAATGCGTTTACGTCAAGCGGGCATTAGAAATTGATATGTTATGATTAGCAGCGGAATGCAAAACTACTAGTGACAGCAACGGTGCAACTTTCGGGTTGTTTCCTGTTTAAGGATTAAGCTGCCTAATTTGTTCGCCCATGTACTGTTAATCGTCCTGGGAGAAAGCACTGAAAATATATAAGAGCATTTTTCCTTCATTTGTTATTCGCTAATGAAGCAAGAGTGCTCAAAAATATGGAAGAAAGAATGAAAAATTAGGAATTTTAAATGGACATTCTGTAATTAGTGGGTCAAATTAGCTAAATCAAAACGTGACGATGAATAAAATCAGTGCAGAGACGTTTTGAACGATCAAACAAAACTGAAAACAATTATTATTGAAGATAGGCGTTATTTATCTTTAAACATGAATAATCCTTCTTTGTGATTAATGGAGTCAGCTTTTGTTGGTCTCCATATCAACACCAAGCTGTCTTGCTATTTGTCCCTAGAAACATCTACATTTCCTTCTGGATCATCCTACCACCTGAGCCGAAGTGTTCCAATTCGCTGCTTACAACTAGTTGAGTATCGATCCGTTTCGTTCGAACTTGGCAAATGGCTTTGTCTACTGTCCACACTCGCCAAGCCTTTGCCCTTCGCCGTCCGAAAGCAGATACAAGTGACGACAGGAGGCAAGGCTTAACCCGCAGAGATATCTGTGGTAAACTCAGGCATAACCATTTCTCTGGCCGCCCCCCCCCTTTATGAAGCAGTACCTCATCTCGTAAAGGGTAGGCACTATAAGCTTGTATATTTTGGACAACGATGTAGGGAGAACTGCCAAGGAGCAGAGATTTAAGCAGAGATCGACTCCGTGAAACCAGTCAACGAAAACACAGACGTATACTTGCCGACCGTATGGAACAACGCAATGTTAATCAGAACAAAAAGCCGTGAACGTTCAAGAATTCATTCACCGTTATTCGTTCGTGACGCATTCATTTTTACTACATAACCAAGCGCGTTCTTGGCAGCATGGAAAATCGTTGGATCCAACTGATCTGAAAATGTGAACTGAGCCACAGATATGAACCGATTCGAAACTACTAACTTACATATTTTGTTTTTGCCAACGATTGGTATATTGCACGGAAGTTGCTGGGCGTTTCTGCACACGAATACATAGGGAGCATCGCATTCACCGCTTGGGTACAGTTCCTGGTACTGCTCCTGCGCCAAGCAATCTACTACTTCCACGTAACCCAGAAGACACTGAGATGGATATTCCGTCGGAAGCGACAGTTCGGTTCCTACAAGCAAATAAAGTATGTCAAAAAAAACGCTACAGAAAAGCTGTATCCCTAGTAAAATAATTACTCACAAGCAGCGTATGCAACAGAAAGACATCACTATCCAACATTACTCGTAACAGCCATAAAACTAAAGGATTATCAACGATTACCAGCCAGAATATTTGGAAATAAAGCGGGACTGCAACCTGACTTTCTAAGATCACTTGAAACTAGTGGCTAACAAAACTAAAACACGAGTCAACTCTATATAGAAACTCTCTTTGCAGGAGTAACTACTGAAATCTAAATCTGCCGTAGGGAACTACAACAATTCAACTCAAACCGCATTCTCTATTCAGAGTGTAGACAGTATGATCAAAAGTTTCCTGCTCTTAACGTGAAATAATGCTACTGTGTCATCTCTACGTTACGCACCACGGCTTCATCGAAACTCCTATCGCTTCATGACTGCCAAACGCTAAAACATAAGCTCTTAGCCATATTGACCTCACAGCCAATGAAGCACTTGTAACGGAGTAGCTCAATCGCCTTTCTGATCGCATCCCAGAAGCGGATCAAGGATATTAATTAGATGCGATTTCATTCACAGACACGTCGATTTCTGAATAACTTAATGCGCTCATCGGCAGCGACGATTAGTTGCTACACTGATGGCGATGCTGACTAAGACATATGGTTATATCCTCTTTGATGAATAATATACGCAATGGCAATAATTTTTTATTGTCCGGATTCGTGAATCCTTTTGTACAACCAAATGGTTGGGCTATGATCAATTAGCTAAAGTAAAATGAATTATTACTAATGCAAATCTTTGAAACGGTATTATTTGAACAGTATGTGAGCTAGAATAGCCGCTAGAATAACTGTCTTCCCGAATGCCAGGCGGCCGACAACGGGCATTACAGACTCCATGTACTGCAAGTGAACACACGGCATCTGGCTCAATTTCTAAACGCTCAACCGCGTAACAAATACTAAACAAGCTGGTCCCTTTGATTTCGTTAAGCAGTGGTTTTACCGCAGTCAGAAACTGGTTAAATGAGCTAATTCGAAGCTGTTGACTTAGAAACTCCGTTCTATCGATACCTTCATATAAACGTTTGTAGAAGTCCTCAATTTCTCGTATCTCTTCCGTTCTCGCTCGCCTTGCCGTAGATGCAATCCAAAGCGTACCACGATGAGCCGAATACCAAGTTCGACCTTCATGTCTAAACATGGTAGTGACATAAACGAGCAACCAACACCATTAATTATAATGCCTTTTGATGCCTTTGACCAACAGCGACGCGTACGGCTGATGCACTGACAGACATTTTCCACTATTTTGTATGCGACAGATATCTTCGCTCTGCACCCTGCATTTCGTCGAAGACCCATCTATCAACTCCACATCGGCGTCCACTTCCAATTCATTCATTTCGTTAGCATCTATATACTGCAGGCGAAAATCATTTACAATATTCAATGCAAATTATGAAATGTAGTACCTCCGGGCAATAATGATTTAGCCAGTCTGCCTTTTCAACGTAGGGCGATGGCTGTGCAAAATTTTCATCCAACATATCTGGTTCTTCCATACAAATATTATAATTTTCCTTCTCCTACAAAATATGAATAAAAAATCATTAAGAAACATAAGCAACAGTCAAATCGGTCGCAACGTAATTTTATTGGTGGACAGATATGTCGTTCGTTCAAGGAAGAAATTACGGACAGCCCGAAGCTCAACAGCAGAAAAACTCCTGACATT